ACATGCAGGCCAGGAGAGCGCACTACTGCTTGAGCCACATCCCCAGCCCTCACTGATTTCTAATTTAATTCCACTGTGGTCCAAGAGTATAATTTGTAGGAGTTGAATTCTTTTAAATTTATTAAGACTCAACGCCTATAATCCCAACAACTCAGGAACCTGAGGCAGAAGTTCAAGACTGGCCTCAGCTACTTGGCCAGACCGTGCCTCAAAATAAAAAGGGCTGAGTATGTAGCTCCTGGGTTCAGTCCCTAGTACACAAAATATAAAATAAACAGAAACAAAATTTATTGAGACTGGTTTTATGGGCCAGAATATGTTTAGAGTGCACTTGAGAAGAGGTGTAACTGCTGTTGTGTTAATGCTGTCAGGTCAAGTTGGTTGCTAAGGTTATTCCAGTCTTCTGTGTCTCTACTGGTTTTCTATCCACTTATTCTACCAGTTATTAACAGGGGGTACTGAGGGCTGTTAAAGTTTACTGCAGGCTGGGTGTGGTGAGCACGCGGGTAGTCCAGCACTCTGGAGGCTGAGGCAGGAGTCTGAGACATTCCTGTTCAATGTAGTGAGACCCCTATCTCAAAGTAAATCAGTAAAATCCTCTATACCTTGAACCAGTCTCCGCACTGTTTTCTGTGTGTCCATTGGTCTTCATTCCCTTTCTCCTTTCTCTGTTGGTCACCTGAGCATTGTTTATGCACTTCATCTCTTCTGTTGACTTATTAGCTGGCCTTGTCACTGCTTCTCTCTCTGATGGTTGCTTTAGGGATTTAGTACACACCATTGGTTTACCACAGCCTACCCAGTGGGTGTGACACCACTGAACATGGTTTCAGCATCTTGAATGGTGCACAGTCAGCCCTCTCTACCCAAGGGTTCTGCATTCGTGGATTCAACCAACTGTGGATCGGAAATATTTGGGGGGGGAAGTGTCTGTACTGTACATGTACAGAGTTTCTCCTATGTCCTTATTTTGTAGACAACACAGTGTAACAACTGTGTAATACGCTTACATCCTGTTAGACATCATAAGCAGTCTAGAGTGACTGAAGGTATACAGAGACTGGGCATGGTGTCGCACGCCTGTAATCTCAGAGATTTAAGAGACCAACTCACAAGTTTGAGGCCAGCCTTGGCAACATAATAAGATCTTGTCTCTAAAAATAAAAAAGGACTGAGGGTGTAGCGCAGTGAGTGGTAAAATACCCCTAGATTCAATCCCTAGTGCCCAAATAAATAAAGTACATGAGAGGATGTGGCAAATGTCCTGATGTTATGAGACTCAGGTGTCCGTGGACATTGGCATCCAGGAACCCTCCCCGGGATACTGAGGGATGACCACACTTGCCCTTCCCTCCTCTCAGCCTTTGCTGTGGTTGTGGGTGTGCATGTGTGCGCATGTGTGTGTGTGTGCGCGCGTGCCAATGATGGAGACTGACCCCAGGGCCTTGAGAATGCTAGGCAAGCAGTGCTCTACTTCTGAGCTACCAAGTCCCCTTTTAAAATTTTGAGATAGGGTGTCTAAGTTGCCTAGGCTGGCCTTGAACTTTTTTTTTGGTAGTGCTAGGATTGAACCCAGGGCCTTGAGCATTCATGCAAGGTAAGCACTCGTCTAACTGAGCTATATCCCCATCCCCAGCCTTGAACTTTTGATCTTCTTGCCCCAGGCTCCTGAGTTGCTGGGGTAACAGGCGTGCACTTGTCCTGTGGTTTCCTACACATCTAAAGGCCTCTTTATTCACCCACATGGTTACCATTTCTGGTGCTCTTCCCCTGCTCCCCCCTCCCCCTTGGTTTGTTTTATTTGTTGTGTTGTTTTGTTTGCTCTACCGGGAATTGAACTCAAGGAACTCGACCACTGAGCCACATCCCCAGCCCTATTTTGTATTTTATTTAGAGACAGAGTCTCACTGAGTTGCTTAGTACTTTGCTGTTGCTGAGGCTGGCTTTGAACTCAAGATCTTCCTGCTTCAACCTCCCGAGCCAAAGGGATCACAGGCTTGTGCCACCACGACCGGCTCCTTCAGTTTTTGTATGTGTGAAAAGTCTTCAGAGTGTGGACTTCTGGGCTGTCTGTCTGAGGAAGGCCCCTGTTTTCTTAGCTTTGTTCCTCTGTATATAACGGATCTTTCCCCGGCTCTGGCTGTTTTAAAGATTCCCTCTTTATTGTTGGCTTTTAGAAATTTACTTGTAATGCGCCTGATTAGTTTATTTTAATATTTGTTGTGGTTGGGGTTTGTCAAGCATGTATTTGTGGTTTTCAGTAAATTTGCTGAGGGTGGGGTTTGGCTTTTTAAAATATTTCCTCAGTCCCTCCTCCCAGGACTCCAGTTCCAGGTGTGTTAGTCTCTTTGCTGTCCCCACATTTTTTTTTTTTTTTCCTGTTTCATTGGAAAGTTTCTGTTGCTGTCCTCAAGTTCATTACTGTTAAAATCATCAGACACTGTGGCTTTCCTCCAGAGTCTTCAGATCTACGGAGCCTGTTTGACATACTTGAACATTTCTCTTTATTTGCTGCTTCTATCTATCTATCAAGGTGTTGGGATCGAACCTAGGACCTCATGTACGTCAGGCAAACATTATCACAAACATTACCACTGCCCTCTTTTTAGCTTCTTGAACATAATGAATTACAATTATATTAACTTTTAGTTGTATTTATTTTTAAGTGGTGCTGAGGATGGAACCGAGTGCCTCACCCGTGCTCTGCCACTGAGCTACAGCCCTCGTCCCAGCTATATTAACTGTGACATCTGCACTAATCCTACCATACCTGTCATTTCTGGGCCAGCTTCAGTGGATTGATTTCTAATCTTGTTAAGGGTCACACTTTCCTGCTTCTTTGCATTCCTATTCATTTTTTACTGGACTTTGTTGAGTACTGGACATTTTTGTATTCCTCTAAATGTTCTTGAGCTTTATTCTTGGTGCAGTTATTTGGAAACAATTTGACTCTTTCAGGGCTTGTTTTGATTTGTGGGACAAAAATAGGGGCTTGGGAGGCTGAAGCAGGAGGATCTCAAGTTTGAGGCCAGCCTGGGAAAGTTAGCGAGACTCTGTCTCAAAATAAAAAGTAAAACGGGCTGGGGATGTGGCTGAGTGGTAGGGCCCCCGGGGCTCAGTCCCAGCATGGAGGAGTAGCCCAGCTGGTTTTGGTCCACTACAGAAGCAGAATCCTGTGAGTGGCCTTCCTGCACCTTCCTATACTGCGAGGTTTTCTAATCTGGCTGGTGGGAACAGAAGTGACTTTAGCCCTGTGATCTGAATGGCGGCTTCCTCATACAAGTGTGACCCCAGGAGGACACTGGGCTGCTCCCCAGAGCCCTCTCTGTGCAGCTGTATCCTCTTCAGTTCCCTATCCCGTGAACTCTAACTGTCCTGGGCTTCCTGTCTGCTCAGTAGCCCAGAAACTCCAGGCAGGAAACTGGGGCTGGCCTTATCATGAGCATTTCTCAGGAAGCACTGTCCTTCCTTGCATGTGGTCCAGCGGCCTGAAGACATTGTTTTTTGTTTTGTCTGGGCTTCTTGTTATGGGCACAAAGGTGAATGTCCCTAGTACTCCCTGCTGGCTGGAAGCCAGTTCCGTGTTATGGAGAAGTCCATTCAGTTAAAAGCCACTAACCTACTAAAGAAGGGATTTTTCTTAATGTTTGTGGGTGAGAACTCAAAGCAGCACTGTGTCCTTCATTTCAGCAATGAACTATGAGTTACTGAGTGTTCTGTGTACTCTGAGAGCTTTGTGTATTAGCTAGTCTAGTCTTTAATCAGCTCTGTGAAATAACAAAACTGTTCTGTCACTCTCCCCATTTTGTGTATAAGAATAGCTAGGCACAGAGGGCTAGAGTAACTTAAATGAGGTCACACTGTCACAATCATGTTTGGATCCAAAGACTGCACATTCCATCAGCATACAAAACTGCTTCCTATCTAAGTTTGTTCTGTTTATCGAGAGGCAGCTGATACAGACACCAGCATTTTCTTTTTTATATTTTATTTTTTTTTAGTTTTTCGGCGGACACAACATCTTTGTTTGTATGTGGTGCTGAGGATCGAACCCGGGCCGCACGCATGCCAGGCGAGCGAGCTACCGCTTGAGCCACATCCCCAGCCCCCAGACACCAGCATTTTCAAAGCAAGCATTGAGGAGCCCTGTTATTTTCATAGAATCCCTTAATGGTGCCCATATTGTAAGAATCGTGGTACTCTTTTTAGCAGCTGTGCAGCACTTCTCTGTATGGGTGCACCATGATTTATGTACCATTCCCCTTTTTAAAACCAAGTTGTGCTGGGTGTAGTGGCGCACACCTGTATTCCCAGCTGAGGCAGGAGGATGATGGCAAGTTCAAGGCCAGTCTGGGCATCTTAGCAAGAACCTGTCTCAAAATAAAAAGGGCTGAGGATGTGGCTCAGAGGTAGAGAGCCCCTGGATCCAATCAATCCTCAATACCACCAAAAGAAAAGCTGTTTTCAAATATGTGCTATTATAAACAAGGTTACTTTAAAAAAAAAAAACACCTCACTGTATTTATATGATTTCCCAGATATCCCTACAGGATAAATTCCTGCAAGTGGGGTTGCTGGAGTTGAGGCTTTTGGAGTGTTGGCAGGTGGCACTACATTGCTCTTCAGAGGCTTGTACTTAGGGGCACCCTCACAGCAGCAGGAGGATGATGTGCCCCTGGACTGTCCCCAACATAGTTTACTGAACTTTTTTCACATTTGTCTTTAGAATAATGGTTGTGAACCCCATATCAAAGGGTCATCTCTGTGAGAGATGCACTTCATTTGTCTACTGGTAAACTAAGAAATGACCAAAGATGAATTCCCTTACTTGTGATGATTCACCCATTTTGGTGTTTAGATTTAATCTGTGACCTGGTCCCTGCCTCTGTGCTGTGGACTAGAGGCTGACGGGAGAAGCAGCCGTGGTATGGTGTGGATCGTGGCATGCATGGGTTGGAGAAAACTGGAGAGTGGAACTGAAGTGTTGCTGGTTGTCCTAGGAAGTGTTGCCAAGGACTCCTGATCACGTTGAACTTGGTGAACACCATCCTGCGCCATCCTGCGGTGCGGCGGCAGCAGACTGGGAAGTTACCGCAGCGGCCGAGCCGGCTGGGTGGATTCTGTAAGATGAACCTCATCTGGAGCTTGCGTCTGCACCTCCCTGCGGACTTGCCGGGCTGCAGGCAGGAAATCCGCCGCCTGTGATTGGAGGGCTGGTGCTGGTGGGATAATGAACTTGGTAGTGTCGGCAGAGGTGATTGGCCCGGCCCTGCTGCAGTGAGGTTGCAGACTGGATGGGCGGCCGGGGCTGGGGGAGAGCGCCGGCGGCTGAATGACTGCGAGCTCCAAGTTGCTTTTGCCCCCAGGAGAGGTCTGTTTGGCTATTGCTTTATCCTTACCCCCTCCTTTTTTTTTTTTTTTTTTAAAGCTAAACCTTTGATCACTGGCCACCTGTAGAAGTGAGTTTTATTGAAGAAGCCCAGCTGCTGTCCTTATTGCCAGCAGCCTAGGAGGCTCCCTTTAGAGTGAGCTACTTCTCAGGCCAGGCACGACAGCAGTGCTAGTGAATTTGAAATAGCAGGAAACAGCCCCTGCATGCAGAGCTTCCCGCCTGAGAACTCCCCAGGCTAGGCCTCCAAGCAGCTGTGTAGCCAGAGACCCTTGGTATTGTGGTCACATCCCTCCAAGTGGACGATCACCAGCAGTGGTGTTTGGAGGAAGCCGGGATGCTGCAGATGCTGTGGCAGTTTCTGTCTAGCTTTTTCCCTAGGGCTGGGTGCCAGGACTCCAGAGAGGGCACGGATCATGAAGTCAGAGGCACCCAGGCTCCTGCTCCGGGTAACCAGATGTCAAGCTTTTTTGGGAAACAAGATGGAAGGGCTGAGGCCACCGAAAAGAGACCCACCATTTTGCTGGTGGTTGGACCTGCAGAGCAGTTTCCTAAGGTAACCCACCCTGGAGAAGAACTCTTAGTTTAGGGGCTTGTCTGGGATCATTTTCCTGGAGGAAAAAATTGGGGGTGGGAAAGAGAAAACTTTTTTAAAAAAAGTCATTTTGGTATTGGGGGTCAAAAAGATGTATTAGGCAGTGAAAAATCCCTCACCCTCAGTCCAAACTCTCTGCCTATAAAAACTTTCCTGCCCCTTGACGACCACCCGCATGGCGTGGAGGGAGGGCAGGTTGATTCAACAGATTCACCTTAGGGTTCATCAGTTTGGCTTCAGAAAATCATTTGAAAGTAAGGGACAGACTGAAGTGTGTTGCCCTTGCTTGTCTGAACAGGGCAAAGAGAACAAGTTAAAAGGGCCAGAGAGTGTACCTTAAAAGTGCGACCCGTGGCCTAGAGCTGGAAACAAGTCTCATGGGCATCTGGAAGGTCACACTCTCCTTGCTTTGGTGGGACCCATTTTACTTTTGGATTCAGGAGGAGGAGTGAAGGGAGGAGGTTGGGTCCCAGGAGAGTCTAGAGTCAAGAGGTGCAGAGCCTAGTGTCCCTTTCTGGATGATCAGGCACCCAGGGTCACTGAGTGCCAGGTCCTCACAAAAAGCCAAGTGAATGATAGCACTCCCATTTTCTAGATGAGGACACCGAGGCATAGGAAGGTTAACTAGTTCACCCAGGGTTAAACCATTAAGGAATGAGAATTGAACCCCAAGTCTGTCTTGAACTTTGCCCTGTACTCCTTGTTGTCCCTTAAGAAAGCAGTGCTTAATGAGACTGATTGAGTTCCCAGGATTGGAGTAGAGATTAAAAATGTGTGGTTGGAGTGACCTTGTTTACCTCCTGAGCTTTGGTTATTTTTAATCTTTCTTCTTCCTCAATTGGAGAAGGGAAAGAGATTCTAACATTGTGTTTGGTGCACTGTAGATAGCCCAGAGATTTGTTGAATTGAATTGCTACATTCAAGAAATAGATGCTTTATTGATTTATTTACTGGAGAGGGACTCCTGCAGTGGTGTGTGCACTGGCAATGAGGAGAACCCCTAGACCTAGGTGGGATTTCTGCAGTGGTCAAGGGTCTCCCAGAGTCAGTCATGCCCGAGATGTGCAGGCTTCATGTGTTACTGAGGTGTCATTTGCTACCTCTCACTCAATCTTACAACATTGGAAATGGCGTCTTTATGAGGAACTTTTATCTGTGCCTCTGCTTGGCTTATGGCCTGGATTAGCCAGCTGACTTCAATTAATCATCTGGTTTTTGACTTTAATAAACGGCTCCATTCCCAGCCTCCTGCAGGCACCCCTTGCCAGCTCTCCCGCAAGGTTTGCCTCAGGTAGGACTTTGTGTGCTGAACAGCCTAGTTCCTGGACCCACACCTTCTATGACTCTGTTCCCCAAAAGGGACATAAATTGGGTGGGTGTCAGGGGAGCCCCAAGAGGGAGCTGGAGCTGCTGGTTTCATTTGAAGCAAGAGAAGAAACACATCTGTGTAATGTAGAATCTTTGAAAGCAGGTAAATTGAATAGCAGGAACAGTTATGCAGAACAAGGGACCTGCTGGGCCCCTTCCCAGGCAGGCCCTGGAGGCTCCTCAGGAAGAGGCCCCCAGAATGTTCCGGAAACCTTATAAAGAAGTTCTGTTTGGTTCTCAGGCTCCTCAGTGTCCAGTAGCACTACTTTGTTTTGCTCTCACTTCCCCCATGTAAATAATTCTGTTTGTGAGTCAGGTTCCTACCAGCTTTTATTTTAGGAACCGTTCTAGTTTTCCCCATTATCCTTGTCTTACAGTTAATCTGCTATAGTCTGGAGTGGGAGGTGCCCGCATGGCATTCGAGCTTGCAAATCCTGAGGGGCTGTCTTGTGAAGCTCAGAGAATTTTGTTCATTGTGTGTAATTGCCAAGTGTAGGCAGTTTCATTGGAAACCAGCTATATTGGGCTGTCATGGCAACCTGAACATCAAATGACACTGCCCCTGTAGCAGCCAATGAGATTCAAGATCCTGCAGGTGGGTGGGGCTCGAGCCACCGGATGCTAGTGAGGCTCCTTCACATACTAATATTTCTGGATTGGTCTGAGTCATTGCAGAGGAGAAGGCAGGTTCTTTCTGACTAGTGTGCTACACTCCCAAAGCCCCTGTGCCTGCCCTATTCTTACTCATTGTATTCTGGTTCTTACAAGAAGTACCGGCTTGGGTTTTTCGGGTGTGTGTGTGTGTGTGTGCGCGTGCGCGCGCGCGTGTGTGTGTGTTTTGCCACATAATTGAGTGGTAGGACAAAGAAAGCTGGTTAGGTAGCCTTGACAGATCCGAGGGTAAAATGATGCTCATAAGAGGAACTGCTCCTTTATAGATTAAATGAATTCAGGTGCCACCAAATTCTAAGGGACCTAGCATTGCTGTCATTGCCTCAAAATCCTAGGCATAAGAATGGACATCTTATGGGAGGAAACAAATAGATCTGGGTCACAAAATTAGAATAAGGGAGCAGAGAAGAATTATCTGCAGTGCAGCGCTCTTAGCCGCCATGAGCCAGGTGCAGTGGAAGGAGGGACTCAGCCTGCCATTCCTGCTTCTTTGTACTGCTCTCACATGCGTCCAACTTGCTCATTGTACTGCTCTCACATGCATCCAGAGCTGAGACAGATGTTTCTCCTTGTTTCTAGCTAAGGCTAGACTTGCTCAGGTTCTACCTTTTCCATATACCTGCCACCTTCCAGTATGAGGTGTTGCTTACCTGAGCTCCCAGTATCTGGTAATTGAACTCTGAAATCTTCTTTTGGCAGTATCGGTTTTGGATGCTTTTAAGTGGATGTTGTAACAGAAGCCTGGTCCTGTCTGCCAGCCTCAGCCCTGCCACCAACAGGCTTGGACAAATCAGGTCGTCTTTCCAGGCCTGTTTGCTCAACCCCAGAGACTAAGGGGATGGCCTCAGAACCCCTTTGGGCCTCACAGTTTGCAAATCCGGTGGTAGAGCTATTGCCTTGGACACTGGGCAGTTAGACATTGGCTCATTTGGGAAGAATCCCCAGCTTTTGTGTGCAGATGGAATTCTGAATTACCTGTGAAATTCAGTAGGATGGAATTTAAGTAAATAAGCAGGACAGCGGGCAGGGCTCTGGGTAGAGCCCTTGCCTCACATACTTGAGGCCCTGGGTGCAAGCCCAGCATAGCAAAATGAAAACTCCTGTTGGAATAGAATTGATGTTAGCCTTGTAAAATGACATATTGAGGGGTACATGCAGAACATTTTAGAAACTTTTTCCTGGTCCCCTGAAACTGTTAAACTATAAGTTTGTGAAGAGTAACAAACTTTGTTATAATGGAGATTCTTTTTTGGGGGGGGGCGGGTACTGAGGATTGAACCCCGGGGGTGCTTTACCGTTCAGTTACATCTCCAGCCTCCACTTCCCGCCTGCCTTTTTATTGAGACAGGGTCTTACCATGTTGCGTGTGCTGGCTTCAAATTTGGGATTCTCCTGCCCGAGCCTCCCAAGTCCCTGGGATTACAGGTGTGTCCACAACACCATCTTTCCTTCTTTTCTAGAAAACAGTTGTTCTAATTTGATTTACTTTAATAATTGTCTTACAATATAAATCACAGGCTCTTCTTTTATTTAGTATAGTTTTCAGATATCTTCTCAGATTCATTCTGTACATCATAAACCCCAATGGCTTACCAAAATTATTTGAAAAATAAACTTTATTAGGAAACAAATATATCTAGTTTAACTTAATTATTCAGTCAATTGAGTCAATATTTTCTTTTCTTTCTTCTTTTTTTCTTGGTAGCACCCTGTACCTTGTGCATGCTAGGCAAGCATTCTACCACTGCGCCACATTCCCAGCCCTAATAATTTCTCTTTTTTTTAACATTTATTTTTTAGTTGTAGGTGGACACGATACCTTTATTTTATTTTATTTTTATGTGGTGCCTCACACATGTTAGGCGAGTGCTCTACCTCTGAGCCACAACCCCAGCCCTAGTCATTTTTCTTTTATATTGAAATACATAGTCTTCACTAAAATGAGATACTTCAATAGGTCTGTGTAACTTATCTTCACTCAGATGTGACCATAAATAATTTAACAAAGGAAGATTAGCATATTAAGATCCAATTTTATTTATTTATAAATGTGAGCTTCCTTTGAAATAAATAATACCTGGTGTTGTTCAGTTGGAAAAAATGCCCTGACAGCTCAATTTGCAGATGCCCAGAAAAACAGGTCTGTGAGGTGAGTGGCTCTGTGTGTGTTTCCTGGGGCCTCAGAGCATGCTCCCTCCATTCAGGAGCCGCCAGTGAAGCCCCTCCTGGGATCCAGGCACAGGCAGTGCCGGCAGAGAGACCAGTAGCCTTCTGCCTCCAGGGACTCCAGCTGAAGAGATAAGAGGTGTGTTCAAATAGCTCCAGAGCAGAACACTCTGCCCTGAGCAGCTGAAGGGCCACCTGAGTGTCATGGCGTTAATGCAGGTTGTGCAGGAATCTGTCTGGATAATCAGATTGGTCCCGGTGCAGTCTGTGGCCTGCTTTTATAGGCCAGTGGTCAGGCCTGTCTTAAGAGGACATACTTTTCTTTGTTATAATCTGCTTCATAGGGTTCTGCAGAAGATCAGCATCTTATTCCAGAATCCTCTCCAGAGGTTCTTTTGGTTTTGGTTTTGGTGGTGCTGGAGTTGGAACCCAGGGCCTGCCACATGCTAGGCAGGTGCTCTGCACTGAGCCATGTCCCCAGCCCTTCTTCCAGGTTCTTAACAAAGTTTCGCAGTGAGTTGGGAAGTCCTTTTAGTTTTGCTGATCCTCAAATGATAGCTATCCATTTTTATCCATTCCGGGCGTGCGAAGATGCAGTCTATATTAGGAAGTGGTACGCTGTAGAAGGAACGAGGGTGGGGCCAGTCTCGTTCTCATCCTGGTGACGTGGTCTCTTCCTCCGCAGCATGGATCTGCGGGGAGAGAACAGAGTGGAGAGGGTAGGCTGGCCTGGGAGATCATCCTCTATACCAGGTCTTTCCAGGACCTGAGATGTTTCTCTTTCTGAAAGCATCTTTCTAAATCTGGGTGGCCTGGTGTAAGTTTCTTTGATAATGGAAATGCCCTGTGACCACACATTGGTGATCCAGCACTTGTAGTATGGACATACCACTGAGGAACTGAGTTTTAGAAGGTCTGCATATTGAATAGCAAAGTTCTGGGCCTGAAAGCTACCACCATACCAAGCTTGCTGGAGTTCTGAGTGGACATGAGCATTGGAGATCGTGCGTTCCGTAGTACCTTGGATATGATATTCCTGGGAAGTCACTCAGCAGGATCTTTGGACTCTGCAGTATTCTCCTTTCCTGGTCCCATCATTTCAGCTCCTTGGTGCTCCTGGCACCCCTGGAAAAGCCTGTAGGCTCACGGGTTGGTTCCTAAGTGCTTATGTTGCAGATGGCCGGAAAGTGTTCAGGCTCTGGGTACCGTGGGCTGTGTAGGGCCGGTGGCGCTCTGAGCAGAAGTCAGCCAGAACCCAAGGCCAGGGCTTGGCCAGTCAGGCAGCCCCACCCCTGCCCTGTTTAATGAGCGGGCTCAAGGAGGGTCTGTGTCCAGTGTGGCGGGGGACCTGTCTCCTATCCTGTAGCTACAGTGGCCCCTGCAGGTATTGATTCTGTCTCTACCTGCACTGATTTTTGATGGGAATGATTTACTAGGGGAAGGGACATGTTGCATAGAGTGACGCATTTGGGGACCTTGCGCGAAAACCGGCTGTAGCCTATTTGTTCTTGGGAAGGATTTGCAGCCAGGGGGTGAAGGTTTGTTTGGGGAGGGTCCTCCTTTCCAGGAGTTAATACAGGGAATAGTGACGTCAGTCCTGATCTTTGCTCCTCTGCGCTTAAGCAACCTGATGCCACTGTCACGGGCCTGTGCTCATTGGCTGCTGGCTAGACTTGGAGTGGGTGGATTTTTTTCAATTAAGTAAAAGGGCAGGGCTTGAGCAGCCAATGGCAGCCAAGCACCGGCATATCTTGTGTGTGAGTTTCCCGGGATGCGGCATTCCCCATTCTGGACGCTGCCAGCACTTGCTCCAGGGGCAGCTGAGCACCATCCGCCAGCATGCTCTGCCTGTGCCTGTATGTGCCACTCATCGGGGAGGCCCAGACTGAGTTCCAGTACTTTGAGTCCAAGGGGCTTCCCGCTGAGCTGAAGTCCATCTTCAAACTCAGCGTCTTTATTCCTTCTCAGGAGTTCTCCACCTACCGCCAGTGGAAGCAGGTCTGTGTGGCGGTGGCCTTTGTTGAGTGAATGGGAGAGTGGCCTTGACACCAGAGTGGGCTAGTGGGCTGAACTGCACCTGCCCTGCCTTCCAGAAAGAATGTCTGAAATGTGGGAGGTGTGATGTCTTGTGGCTGTGGCTGGAGTGGCTGGTTTTCTCTTGACTTCCAAGTAAGTCTGGAATTCTAGGGAGGCCCTTGTGGGAATCTTGGGGTAGAGTCCCTTTGGCTAAGCTGGAGCTTCCTGAGAGGTACAGAGCTGGGGAGAAGCTGGCGCTGGCCAGCTGCTGCGGACTGCTTCTCTGGACTGGGGGTGGAGGCCAGGAAGGACGTGAGGGGAGAGGCCTAGAGGCTTCTCTTTGGAGGCTCATAACTTGGGGACTTTGCCACAGAGAAGAGCTGACCGTGCCCCTGTGAGGCTGGAGCTGGCAGCACTGTGCCCTGGGTACAGAGGGGTGGGGAGGGAGCTTTCGTGCCTTCTAGACCCTCCGATGTCCCGGAGGAGCAGGGCAGCAGCTGAGGAGAGCCTGAGTCTAAGCTACAGGGTCTAGGGGGTCGCTTGCCTCCTGGGCTTTATCGGATCTCATGCTGTCCCTCAGTGCTTCTGGTGGCATGGGGGGGGTGCGTGTCCTAGGAAGGAGACAAGGTAGGCCAGTGTTTTGAGGCAGAAGCAAGCTCTTTGAGAATGTTTTTAAATTGGCTACAATGAGCACAGTTTTGAGTTGTCTGTATCCCAGGCCACCCAGCCCAATGAAGTGCATGGGTCATTCTGGTAGCAGGCAGCTTGGGGACCAGGTTCTGTGCATAATGTTCAGCTCCTCCTTAAATAGCACGTAGGCTATGGGCCCATTCCTGCTGGAAATTGGAGCCCCATGCAGAGTTTCTGTCACTCTTGTGTGAGAGCCCAAGTCAGCAGGAGCGAATGTAACCCCAGATGGCAGAGGAAGTACCCACCTACAGCTGCCCCACTTTCCAGCTGTGCTGCATGCACTGCTCTAGCGATCACGTCAGTCACAGGGTATGTGCCCAGGCCTCACACCCATCAGGGGCTCAGGACATCTGAGAGGGAGACCATGATGGCACTCTGTGAGAGCACAAGCTAACCAGTGGTCTACCGATTCCTAGACCCCAGCAGACTCAAAAGACTCGAGACCTGTGTTGATTTATGGAGAATGATGGATTTCTCTTTGGGAGAATCAGGGACACAGGGAGACATAACTGTTCTCAAGAGATTATTAGTTTACATTCTGGGTGTTGCTGAGTTGGAGTGACTCAAGTTTGCCTCCACCTTCTTGACATTAACCTGTAGGGAGGTGGCTCAGAAGCCCAACAGGCCCAGCTTGAATCTGCCCATCATGTCCCTGGCTGTGTGACTCAAGTAAATGCTTTGCCTCTCTGAACTCCTGTTCTGTAACATGGGGGAATGATAGACCCAGCCTCCGAGAGCTGTTGGAGAGGCTTCAGTAGCATTTAGCAATTTAGTGGCAGCGGGAAGCTCCAGGAAAGGATTGCTTTTTTTGTGGAGAAATTCCAGTTGTTGAACATCCAGCACAGAGACAGGTGCAGAGTCTTGGAACCTCACAGCCAAGGAACAGGGTCTCTTAAAGGCCTCTCGGGCCACTAAACAATTATTAGAGCTAGTCTGGTTTTCAGCGCCTGGTTAGGAGAGCTGGGGTTGGTTATATCATCTGATGTCCCTGAAACCAGGGACTGGCAGTGCCATCAAGAGCCCATGCCCAAGAATAGTCACCCTTTTTTGGTTCCTGTGTCTTCTGCCACCTCCAGAGTGTCCCTGGCAGTGTTTCTGCCGAGCGGGCATTGCTCCGTACCTTCACCCTGGCCACCAAATTGTTCTTGGGCCAATGCCACTGGTGGAGAGGGAGGGGCAGGTAAAAAGAGCAAAGCCTCAGAGTTCCTGAGGGAATTTGGATTCCAGAGCCAGCCACCTGTTGGCAGGGAACTCAGGGCTGAGGCCTGGTACTAGGGCCAAGCTGTAGGGGAGCCAAGCAGCTGACCCAGGCTGTGTGACAGGCTTGTCTCAAGAATTCTTGGGAGGAACAGACCCCAGGCTGGCCCGTTGGCCTCTATCTGAAGGATTCCTCCTGGGGGCTCTTTGCTCCTCAGGCTAGCAAGATGAGCCCCTAGGGATCTAAGTGGTGGCTCTGGCGTATGAGTAAATTGCTGTGGTGGCTATGGAGGTAGACAAAGGCATCTTGGGTCTCTGGGGTGACGTTGGTTTAGATGAGTGGAATCACTTCCTGGGGAAGGGCCCCATGAGCCAAGGAAAGGCTGGAGCATGAGCTAAAATAAAAAATCTTACTTTTGTCTTCTAGAAAATTGTGCAAGCTGGTGACAAAGACCTGGATGGGCAGCTGGACTTTGAAGAGTTCGTCCATTACCTCCAAGACCATGAGAAGAAACTGAGGCTGGTGTTCAAAAGTTTGGACAAGAAAAATGATGGTGAGCTTGACTTGCAAATCCCAGCTGGCCAGCCCTGACCCCACCACCTGACCAGCCTGTGCCCATGGCCCTTGTCGTTACAGGACGAATCGATGCACAGGAGATCATGCAGTCCCTGAGGGACCTGGGAGTCAAGATCTCCGAGCAGCAGGCAGAAAAGATTCTCAAGAGGTGAGTGCCTGGCAGCCTCTGATTGGCTTAGGCAGCCGCGGGGCTGTGCACTGTCCAGAGAGCTTGGCTCGCGGTTGCAGAGGATGGCTGAGTGGCCCGCCCAGGCAGCTCCCCTTTGAGAATCACGGATCACCTGGAATTTCCCCCATTCATCGTGACCATGAAGCTCAAAGACTAGTTGGGGGGAATTTCAAGTTGTGAAAGGCGTCCCTTGAACATGTTCTCTGCCCGGGCTGGAGGAGATGGGGCTTGAGTGGCCTTGACCTGGGGAGACTTGACCTGGGGAGACTTCAGGCTGCTTCGAAAGAGCTCCCTGGCGGGCAGAGGCTCTGGGAAGCCAGAGGACGTAGCCCGGGACCTCGCTTCTCCTGGCTCTTTCCCAACTCCTGGGGCTGAAAGCTGGGCCACAGGAGCAGCCCTCGTTCCTCGTGCTCCTGGGGCCTGTCGCTGGGGGGCTCGTGCTGCGTCGTGCTGGCCGTCGCGCTGTGGGTGTGTGCTTGCCGCGCTGACGGCTGCTCAGAGCACTTATATGTGTGTTTCTCCTCTCTCCTCTGCTTCCTCCTTTGTCTGTCTGTCAGAATACGCACGGGCCATTTCTGGGGCCCTGTCACCTAGTAAGTATCCATGTTGCCCTGTGACCGCCTCCTTCCTTAGCTTCCGTGCCTGATGGGTGCGGGGTGCTGTGGGCCAGGCACGGTGGGCCGTATAGCTCCTCAGCCCTTTCTCAAGGGCATGAGGAGCCCTCTGCTCCTGCCTCAGCGTGCCTGGAGGTGGATATGCGCTGGCAGATGGGGCGTGATCACACAGGGGCGCCTTCTGTCTCGCAGCATGGACAAGAACGGCACGATGACCATCGACTGGAACGAGTGGAGGGACTACCACCTGCTGCACCCCGTGGAGAACATTCCTGAGATCATCCTGTACTGGAAGCACTCCACGGTGAGGCCCTCCCACCAGGGCACTTCCTCTGCTGTCCCCACAGGTCCTCTACCCAGCACCAGCTGTCTTTTGTCCCCAGGGCTGGAGTGGGCTCCCCCATGCCCCATCTTCAGCAGCGGTACTGTCCCCTCCACTGCCAGCCCAGTAGAGCCAGCCATACCCGCCCCCTCCTGGTTTCTCACACACCAGCAACCCAAACAACCCAGTTGTCCCCCAGGTACACAGTTACCTTAGCTGGGAGTCCCCTCTGTCCCCAAATGCCACCTGTGGCATCAAGGTGCATTTCAGACATTCCTTTCTTGATGCTCCTTCCTCTCCCAAAGCCACGTGATCATCCTCCCCAGGGGTGGGGAGAAGTGACGCTGTGGAGGACACAGACCGCTCTTGCGTGCACCCTGCTTCCCTATTCTTTGGTGTGGCTTCTCTATAGCAAATGAGCATGTCCCCACAGCAGCTGGCACATGGCCCTGTACCCGTCAGTGTGGTTCCAAGTAGATGTGGATCTGTGCTGACCCCCCCTGCCCAAGACCAGACCCCTTACCACTTGCTTTGTCCCTCCAGCCAGTCCTGCCTGGAGTGTGGTCCTGTCCACCCTGGACCACGGACCAGGCCAGGGCTTGCTGGATGAAAGTGAGTCCGGCTCCCGAGTTCAGCTTCAGCGCAGCCGGCTCCTATCTCGGGCTGCAGCCTGGGTCAGGGCAGGACTGGCTCAAACCAGCCCAAGTGCTACCCAGAGTACAGTCCGCAGACAACGCAGCCCTGTTTGCTGAGGCCTTACACAATGTTCTGCCAGCGTGATCCAGTTACACATCAGGGTTCAGAAGGATTTTTACCCCTTATGTGATCTTTCAGCCCTGTCAGCCTGGGATCCCCACAGAAGTCCCTTTTAGCGGGTGAGAAGTGCTGTCCAAAGGTTGTGTAACTGGTCCCGTCCAGCTGTGCTCGCCTCAGTTGTCTACCTGGGAGCCATGGGCAAGCTGAGACCTTTGCCAGGTTCACAGAGTGACAGGGAAGAGCCCTAGTGTGCCTCCTACCCAGATTCGCCACGTTCTCATGGTTCACGTGGTCCCCTGCGCCATGGTCACTCGGGATGGTGGGCGATGGCTGTGTCTTGAGCCAAGCTGGTGAACTCTGCTGGTCTTTCTCACAGATCTTTGATGTGGGTGAGAATCTGACGGTACCTGATGAGTTCACTGTGGAGGAGAGGCAGACAGGGATGTGGTGGAGACACCTGGTGGCAGGAGGTGGGGCAGGGGCCGTTTCCAGAACCTGCACCGCCCCACTGGACAGACTGAAGGTGCTCATGCAGGTGAGCAGGACAGTGGCCCACACCTGATTCTTCACCTTGGGGTTTATTGGTCGGTTAGTTTCTCCTTCCCCTGGCTGGATCCCTGCTGTGGCTCAGTAGTAAGTCAGATTGGAATTACTTCTCAGACCAAGTCCCAGCAGATCCCGGCCTAGGTGACATTTCGTGTATAGCCGATCTAATTTTATCTCAGGCCCTTAAGCCAGGCATCACCTTACAGCAGCTTAACGGGGACCAATGAGGCTAGTGACACCTGGTGTGGCAGGAGCTGATTCCCTTCAGCTCATCCATGGGGGGGCGGGGGGCAAGCAGATCCTCACCTGACCCAGGTGCCAGTTGGAAGCAGCACCCTACCTTGGCTGGGTGTGCAGCTCCACGTCCACAGGGCAGAGATAAGCTCACTGATGTCAAAGGAAGAATTGTGAAATGGGGACACTCTGGTGGACTTTGATGTCTGTCTGAACAGCAGCTGATCACCCTCTGTCCACTGGCTTGCATCTGGCACTTTTCATGCCTGGAGCCCTCTCAGAAAGGGCACCCTTGGGCTGGGGATGTGGCTCAAGCGGTAGCACGCTCGCCTGGCATGCGTGCGGCCCGGGTTCAATCCTCAGCACCACATACAAACAAAGATGTTGTGTCCACCGAAAACTAGAAAATAAATAAATATATATATATATATATATAAAGAAAGAAAGGGCACCCTCCCCGCCCCTTGGCCCCCCTGGCCCCCCTGTGAGCGTTACGGCTAACTGGCATCTCCCTCGACCTCCAGAACTCTGGGGACTGGAGTGGTCCAGGAAAAGAAGTGCTAGCCCTGGGCTCACATTCCAACCCCCTCCCTCCCAGCCCTGTGCCCTTGATGTGCACTTCACCTCCCAGGACCTCAGTGAAAATACAGGGCTTGAACAATCGCCTCACCGGTTTAACAGAATTTCCAGGAATGTCTAGAGATTAGAGCAGCCCTTGGGTGAGAGGGCGTGGTGCGTGGGAGGGACCTAGTCTATGATCCCTGAATCTGGAGCCACCCCGGGGTGAGCAGGGAGAGTAGAGGGGCCCCGTGTGACTGAGGGGAGTAGAGGACCTAGTGTCACTGAGGGGAGTAGAGGGGCCTAGTGTGAGCTGAGCGTGCTCGATGGAGGCGCGTCGTGGAATTTTATCTACTTTGAGATATATATGTTTGAACATTTTCCATGAACAAAAGCTCCATGGGGTTTTGTTGTTTGTTTTTAATTTTTAAAAAGTATTCCTCGTGGGCAGACCACGGCTCAGTGGTAGAGCTCTTGCCTGGCACGCACCAGGCTCTGGTGCCATCATCAGTACTGCACAAAAAGAGAAAAAATAGTCCTTGTGAGGGTGTAAACTTTAGCTGAGTCTAAACCAGAATTAGTCACACTTGAGTCTCATGGTACCAAGCTGCTCTTCAGATTCCCAGTAGGGAAGAGGCTCTCCCCGGTAGACAGGCAGCCCATGCTCCACCCAGTCCCACTCACCACTTGTCCCCCTCAGGTGCACGCCTCCCGCAGCAACAACATGTGCATCGTGGGAGGATTCACGCAGATGATTCGAGAGGGAGGGGCCAAGTCACTCTGGCGGGGCAATGGCATCAATGTCCTCAAAATTGCCCCTGAGTCGGCCATCAAATTCATGGCCTACGAGCAGGTAAGGGCCCGGTCGGCGAGCATCTGCATAGGGACTAGGTTCCCTAGTCTATGATCCCTGAATCTGGAGCCAGTCATTGTACCCAGGGCACAGCAAGGGGTGGCAGGAGATCTGGGCCTGGCTCTGCTGCCAGTTCACTTTGGGCCAGTTTCTTCCATTTCTGGGCAGCTTAAAATGGGTCAGGGCCACCAGTCTCAGGCACATCTGAACAGCTCTGTGGGGAAGGGTTGGGGGAGCAGCAGGAGCTGTGCTCTCTGGGTACATTGGTTTGTTTTCTCCCTATTCTAGATCAAGCGTCTTGTTGGTAGCGACCAGGAAACGCTAAGAATCCATGAGAGGCTTGTGGCGGGTTCCTTGGCCGGGGCCATTGCCCAGAGCAGCATCTACCCTATGGAGGTAAGAGGACGCCTGGACGGGGGCGTGTCGTAGTGCACATGGTGTGGGGACAGGAGGGTCGTGCTCATGCCCCACCACTCCTGTTGCAGGTTCTAAAGACCCGGATGGCCCTGAGGAAGACAGGCCAGTACTCGGGCATGCTGGACTGTGCCAGGAGGATCCTGGCCAGAGAGGGGGTGGCTGCCTTCTACAAAGGCTATGTCCCCAACATGCTGGGGATCATCCCCTATGCGGGCATCGACCTAGCCGTCTATGAGGTAAGGCCCTAGAGGGCTCCCATCCCAGGAGCAGGCAAAAGGTTCCACCCCTGCCTCCAACCCATGCCCTCCCCTGCTGTCTCCCTGGTGGACCCCAGGGCGGTTAGGACAGGAGGCAGTCTCACCTCTTTACTCCTGTCACCCTGCCAGCGGCTGTGCCTCAGCGGCTCACAGGCTGAGGACACTGCAGCGGGGGCTGTGTGGGGAAGGGTCTCCCTCTGCCTCATCCCTGCTTTGTCCCAGCCAGAATCCATAGTGAAAGAAGGGTCAGGCTGGCCAGGAACTTGGCCAGGCCCAGGCCACACAGCCCTGTGGATCCTGCGTGATAGGAACATCTCGGTGTGGGTCCAGTGACTGCCCCACAGTTGACTCCATGCCAGCTGTCTCCAGGCTTAACCCGTTCCTCCCTCCACAGACGCTCAAGAACGCCTGGCTGCAGCGCTACGCGGTGAACAGCGCAGACCCCGGCGTGTTTGTGCTCCTGGCCTGCGGCACCATATCCAGCACCTGTGGCCAGCTGGCCAGCTACCCACTGGCCCTGGTCAGGACTCGGATGCAGGCACAAGGTAAGCCCAGTCCCAGACCAGTCCCTGTCTCCCATGCAGGTTGGGAGGGCCAACAGAAGACAGCTGACTGTTGGCCTCTCTCTGCAGCCTCCATCGAGGGCGCTCCCGAGGTGACCATGAGCAGCCTTTTCAGACAGATCCTGAGGACCGAAGGGGCCTTTGGGCTGTATCGGGGACTAGCCCCCAACTTCATGAAGGTGATTCCAGCCGTGAGCATCAGCTACGTGGTGTACGAGAACCTTAAGATCACTCTGGGTGTGCAGTCACGGTGACCGAGGGCAGGTGGACTTGCTGACCCTGGCTGCAGCCAGGGTGTCCAGCCATCTCATTCTGTGAATGTGCCGACAACACTAAGCTGACTTAAGCCAAGCTGTGAAACCTGGCAGTGCGCAGGGAGGGGCGGGGAGACTGGCAGGCCTCGGCTTGTCCTGCTGACCTGCAGACCCTCGTGACCGTACCAGGGAGGGTCCCTGGGTTTCCTCAGGGTCCAGGGGTCAGCAGGACCCGGGCCCATGCGCCTAGGCACAGGACGTTTCCTGCAGCGCCTGCCACATAGCGAGCTTGGGGATAGCTTTGCTCTTCCATCTCGTCCCCACAGCCCGGCCCTGCCGCTGGCCCACTGAGTGTTCCTGTGCCTGTTTTGCGTCCCTCCCCCTGATTCGCTGTGGTAGGAGTAGGGCCACCAGCCCACTCCCAGCCATGAGAGGTGACTGCCTGCCTCTCAGACCCACCTCCGACCTGCTGTGTCAGCACAGGGCGTGGCCCGGGAAGATGGGGGGTCCCGCTTGGGTTTCTGAGCTCTCACAGAGGGCGCCTGGGCGCACGCGCTGCCTGGTCTGCAGCGTGACTGGGGAGCTCGTGCTGGACCTGCAGTCCCCTGGCTTCGGTGCCTTGGTCTTGTGCTCTGAGCTGGCCCAGACTGTCAGGACTGGCACCAAAACCGAACTCCTCATCCCCACTCTGTGGCATAAGGGCAGTGCCCGGTCATGTTTTATTGCCAAGAGCAGAGTTTCTGCCCCGTATCCGCCCTGCTGAGGGATGGGCGGAAGGCCCTGGTCCTGTGCTGCTGGGGAGGGTCTTGGAGAGGCAGCTTGGGCAGTGCCCTGTTCCTTGCTCCCCAAGGAAGATGGGGAGTGGGTGGCTGGACTGCACGAGGTCTGCTGACCCCCCAGGGATTCGTGTCCATCCCAGCGGGGGTGAGGTGGGACCAGCTCACATTCCACTGATGCGACACAGCACACTGCTTGGAGCCTATTTATTTTGTATTTATTTGAACAGAGTTATGTCCTATTTTTATAGATTTGTTTAATTAATAGCTCATCATTTTCAAGTTCATTTTTTATTCATATTTATGTTCCTGGTTGATTGTACCTTTCCATCTCCACCTGGTGGGGGTGGGGGAGAAGAGGGAAGGGCCTCGGGAGTGACCCTTCCTGGGCCCACACCAGCGTCCTGTCTGGTCTGTCCAAAGAAGTTCCTCTCAGGACTGGAGACAGGAAGACGAGGGGAGAAGCCCCGACTATGGAGAATGCATCCCTTAGCGCGTCGGCAGCTTGTCCCCAGGAGGCCTGAGACCTGGAGGGGGAGGGGCAGGTGAAAAATCCCGGCCATGGGTGGGTGACAGTCCCAATCTTGCCTGGACAGGGAGGAGTTCTTTATTTCATCCTTTTTGAATGACAGGGTAGTGAGATGCCGCTCATCTTGAGCTTGTGACAAGGGGGTAGGGCTGGAGGACAGGGTGGCCGTTTCCCCACCCCAGCCCGGAAGTGGGACCCTCCCTCGAAGCCCACAGCTGCCCTTGCTTGGTAATGCTGGTCAGCTGGCCACTTGACATTTGCACCTCCATTCCCCAGAATGGCCTGATGAGGACAATTTAAATAGGATGCAAAGATCAATGCAAAAATTGTCATATATAAATATATAGTTATAACTGGAATTTGTCAAAGCAGATTAAAGAATTGGAAGTTGTCATTCAAACAGCCTTCTAATAAAGTTGTTTCAAAGCTGCTGACGGAGCCAGGGTTTTCTTGACTTCCTTGCCTCCCTCAACCTTTCATGCTGATCCAAGCCAGTGACCCTCTGAGAACTCGAGTCTGGTTCATGTCACTACAGGGAGGGTCACATGTTAGAAACTGAATCCTTTCATTTCCCACCCAGGGCCTGGGCTGCTTCCCGTCTTGGCTTCGTGGAAACACTCCCTTTTAATGTGGTTTTTGATTTGGGGTGTTCTGAGGAGGCACCAGTGCTCGGTTACCTCTTCTGGGGCTCTTTCCTCAGTGCTCTCCTGCTTAGCCATCTCGGACGGTGTCACTCCCTCCTGCTTGGAGTGCCATCTACGCGTGGCCTCCAGACACCACCAGCCTCCCGGGTGGCTCGGCCAGCTTTCAGCTGCTGGAGGGCCTGGAGGGCCGAGCAGTCTCAGGCCTCTCCTTACCCATCTGGTCGCTGTCACTCATCTTGCTGGAGATGACTTTCAGTAGCTGTGCTCAGGTGATCCCCGTTTTATACATGAGCCAGCTCCAGGTTCACCCATCCAGCTATGAACTCAGCCTCAGCTGACGGTCATCTCGAGCGTCTCGTGTGCAGGGCAGGCTCCTTCCCAGCTCTTCTTCTTCCAAACCTGCCTGTCTTCATCTCAGCAAGCACACTCCCTTCCTCCAGTGACTTCAGTCCCATCAATCAGCAAATCCTGTCAGTGATACCTTCAAGTATATCTGGAGTCTGACCTCACAGTGTCCACCGCTGCTTGTGGTCAGAGGCAATGTCATTTCTTACCTGGGCCATTGCCAAAGTTCCTAAACTTGTCTCCCAGGCTTCCCTCCACTCTCCAATCCAAGCTGCGCTGGAGGGACCCTTGTACAACCTAGTCCTGGTTCATGTCACTCAACCCTCCATGAGGAGACAAGCCACCAGCTGGGAGAGACCCTGCAGTTTCTCATCCAACTGAGCATCTGTAACTCGGCCCAGATAAAAATGGGCACTTCACAAAGGAAGGTGACTGGCCAAAGAGCCAGGAAGGGACTTAGTGCCATTCGTTGTCAGCAAATCCCAGGAGGAAGCCCTCTGTGCAGGTAGAATAACTAGTTAGTCTGAAGCACCCAAGTTGATGGAGAATCTGCAGCAACTAGAGCCTCCACTGATGGCAAGGTCAAGTGTGAAGCGTTTTAGGGAACTTCGTTTCCAGTAAAGTCAAACATTTTTCTTGTGACCCAGCTTTCCCCTAAGTAGTACCCTCTTTTCCCCAAAACCCTGTGTCTGGCTGACAGCAGGTTCATTCATAGCAACCAGAAACTGGGAGCTGCAAACGCCCTGCAGCAGACCTCTGTCTGCGTCCATTGAGGGACGCCACTGGGCAGTACATGGGAATGAATTGCAGAAACTACAGGCGACAACAGGATGAACCTTACAACACCGAGAATCCAGACCCCCGAGCAAGAGTGCTAGGCCCTGAGCGCCCCTGGATCGTCTCCAGGGTGGTGGCTGCCTTGGAGGGAGAGGTCGTGGCGTGGGGGAGAAGTGTCTCCCTTCTCACCTGTATATAAAAGTACCCTTTGTGGCTTCCAGGGTCTCTGGCATCTGCCCGCCCCAACCAGAGGTGGGCTTACCTGCACAGAGGCGGCCTGGGCGGTCCCCAAGGCCCTGGTGTGCTGGGAAAATGGCCTTTCTCAAATCAGCGTTCACTTTCTTTCTGCAAAACTGGGGTTGAACCTGAGCCTCGTGTGTGCTCGGGGTGCTCTGTCACTGACTCCATCTGGCCCTTTTTATTTTATTTGGTGACAGTCTGAGTTACTGAGGCTGGCCTTACACAAGGACTCCAAAGTGCTTCAAGTTTCAGGCCCCTCAAAACCTCTCTTGGGCTACTCAGAAATGTGCTTGTCTTCAGCAGGTGGCGCACACGAGGCTCCGTGAGGTGTTCATTAAGTGACTGTCCACGGCGTTCTGATGGCCCTGGACATCAGAGGCCAGGCAGGACTGCTAGGGGAGGGGACCCACAGCTCAGGGACTGGCTCTGGGCATGGATGAATAGTGTCCCCCTAAAATTTGTGTCTCCCCCAGAACCTCAGAAGATAGCCTTACTTGGAAACAGGATCACTGCAGATACAGTCAGTTTAGGGTGAGTTCATTCTGGATTAGGAGGGCCCCTAAATCCAATGATCAGTGGCCTTCAAGAAGAGGGAATGTAGGACACAGACCCATGGAGGAGAGACTGGCCTGGGAGGCTGGAGGGGTGTGTCCATGAGCCAAGGACACCAGGGCATGGCTGCAGCGGCCAACATTGGCTTCCTGTGCCTGATACCAAGGTGATAGGCCTTGGTCATACCCCAGCTCTCGGGTCTTGGCAAACTCCTGTCCAGCCTCCCACCTGCCCCCACTCATCCATCCTCAACCCCCTGCGCTAGAGGCCAGGGCTCCTCAGCACTGAGGCCAACTCTGGGGACACTACGAGGTGGTTGATGCATGTAGCCTGCTCAGGCCAGCCTCCCTGCAGCAAGCTCCTCAGTCCCTTTGTCCTGTCTGAGCTCCTGTCACCTCACAAGGCCTTCACACCCACCCTACCAGGATTTGGCTCTCCCGTCCCTTTCATCGCTTGGGCTCTTAGCTGCTCCCTCCTCTTGGGCCGAGGGTCTCTGCGGGCCGCATTCTCTGCTGTTCTCAGTGCCCTGAGCCTCTAGGCTAGCTTTCCATGGTAAACCTCAGTTTGCTCATTAGCAAGATGGGCACAGAACCTTCCTTACAGCGCTGAGGGGGGAGGGCTGTCCAGCTTCATAGGAAGGATCAAAGTTAAGCTGAGCTTCAGACCAGCGTGTGGCCCCAGCCCTGCTCTCCAGGGAGGCTGGCTGCCGGCTGCCCACAATCCAGACCTCACTGGTCTGAGCGGGTTGGAATGTAGGGGAAGGGTGGGAAGAGGAGGAGCTGGGGTTGGGGCCCAGCTGCCCAGAGTGGACCTTGGCCCCTGCCCCCAAGCACCAACTAGCCCAGAGTGGCAGGTGCTGGTGGCTGGAGAGGTCACCCGGGCTAGGTGGGGGGCCACTGCAGGTAGAGCAGGAGTAAACTGAGCCAGAGACGACGGCCCCAGGTTAACCACCGCCTCCTGCTCTTGGCTTCTTGATATAGGCTGGCCAGGAGAGCAGAGGCCAAGGAGGGAGTGCTCTTGGTCATTTGCTATCACGCATCAGGCAGCCCTTGGCCCCGAGGGGCCATCATCTCTGAACAGCCAAGGGGGAGAGGAAGCTGGCTCAGCCTTAACCCTCATCCTCCAGGTGAGGACGGGAACCAAGCCCGCTGGCCCATTCTCTTGACTCCACCTGGCTTAGAGCATTTGTGTTAGTGTCTCACTGTGGCAGCTGCTACAAACTCAGGGACAGGTGTAGTCTCTCACAGTTCTGGAAAAAGCCTGAGAAGTCACGTGAATTTCACCGACTGAAATACAAGGGTCACAGGCTGGGTTTCTTCTGGAGGCTCTGGAGCTGGACGTGGGGTCCAGTTCCCTGCCCCTTCCTGCTTCTGGAGGTTTCTGTGTTCCTTTTGACCCATTCCTGCCCCTCCAGCTGCTGTGCTACTGCCACCCCATCTCTCCTGCATCAAGTCACCCCACCCCCTCCCTTGTCTGGGGACACTTGTGATTATATTCAGGGCCCATCTGGATGATCTCCCCATCTCTGAAGGCATTTTAATCACATTACAAACCCCCTTCCCTGCAGAAAGTATGACACAGGGAGTAGGGAGTGATGTATTCGGGCCACACTGTCCCCCCTCACACACCTCACCGTCAGCATCCTTCCTGTTGGACTGGTTAAATGCAGTAAGAAATAGCTGCAAAACTATACTGCCATGTGCTGGGGATGTGGCTCAAGCAGTATCGCGCTCGCCTGGCATGCGTGCGGCCCGGGTTTGATCCTCAGCACCACATACAAATAAAGATGTTGTGTCTGCCGAAAACTAAAAAATAAATATTAAAAAAATCCTCTCTCTCTCTTAAAAAAAACTATACTGCCATTAGAATTGGTGGGGACAGCCACCTCCTGGAATATATTTGTAATCTAGAGACTTCAGCACAGGGCCAGGTGTGGTTCAGCGGGACAGCGCTGGCCCAGTGTGAGCGAGACCCTGGGTTCCATCCCCAGCACCAGGAAAAAAAAAGGTCACAGAAACTGATGCCAGCAGATCTGGGTCTCCCTGCTGCCTCTGCCCCTTAATTAACTGTACCACACAAAGCAAATGACTTCATCCTCTGGTGCCTCAGTTTCCTTATATGTAAAATGGGCATGTTAGATCCAATCTCAGGGATCTTTTAGGATTAAATGAAGTAACACCTGGAAAGCATTTGAAACAGTGGGTTGCCACAAAATAGGCCTCATTGACTGCTGCATGTATATACTTAATATACAGTAGGTGTGTGTTTGTGTGCAGGACATGTGAGCTACATAAAGAATAATCTAGCCGGCACAGTGGCGCACACCTGTTAATCCCAGCGACTCGGAAGGCAGAGGCAGGAGGATCGAGAGTTCAAAGGCCGCCTCAGCAATTTAGTGAGGCACTAAGCAACTCACTGAGACCCTGTCTCTAATAAAATACAAAATAGGGCTGGGGATGTGGCTCAGTGGTCAAGTGCCCCTGAGTTCAATCCCCAGTACCCTGCCCCCGCAAAAAAATTAATAATAATCCAGAAAATTGTATATCCCAAAATGTCAAAAGTGGCTAGGTGGACTGTGAATATTTTGCATCAACTTTTTATCAACCATTTCTATTTCTTTACAATAAACATTATTTGCATAATCAAATGAAAACAAGCAAACCAGAATTCTCATGGGCTTGCGTCCCCAGGGATTCCCTGGCTCCCAGGGAGAAGGGATCTTGTGTTCTCACTTCCTGCTGCTCTTGACCCGGAGCTCTGGAATCCAGCCAGAAATACAGTGGGAAATGTGTTCTTCTGAGGCAGAAGTGCACCCACCAGCTATTGAATGCCCTCATGTGTCATCTTCCAAACACCCCCCAGCCCTGACCTCACCAACACCAAGGAGGTTTACTCATGCATTTCACAGGAGGGAAGGGGCTTGTCCAAAGTCAGCCAGCAGTGGCAGGGTCCCAACTCAGGCCTATGCCACTAAAGGACATGTGCCAGGCGCAGTGATACCAGCGGCCTGGCAGTGATACCAGAGGCAGGAGGATTGCGAGTTCAAAGCCAGCCTCAGCAATGGTGAAGTGCTAAGCAACTCAGACCCTGCCTCCAAATAAAATACAAAATAGGGCTGGGGATGTGGCTCAGTGGTCAAGTGCCCCTGAGTTCAATCCCCAGTAGGCCCCCAAAAAGGACAAGAGACATGTGACCTGAGCATGTAAAATATGGAGTAAGAGTTCCTGACTTGAGGACTTTTATCTTGGAGATGTGTTTTTTTCCTACTTGCTCATCTTCAGAGCCTGGGCAAATAGAGTCCCTAACCAATGAAGGTTGCCCAGGGAGTGGACCCAGAATTGGCCACCAGGGGCAGCCCCGGTCCTGTTTCCTGCAGGTGCTGCAGACTCTAGCGCCCTCTGGTGGCCACAGGAAAAACTCCAAGAAAACTACCAAGCCGCATTTATAAAAGGTCCCCTCTGGTGTGTGAGGCAGGTGTTACTGCGGTAAGATGCTGGGCCCTGGTGGTGCCCTGTGGTGGCCGTGGGCTGACCAGCCATTCTCTAATGCCAGTCACAGGGAACCAGGGATCGGATCTGACTAGCACAGTTGGAACACCACAGATGCCAGCACCTCCCCACCCAGAGCGGGGGTGGGGGGTGGTAGAAAAGCCCCCAGGAGCCACTGCCTCCCAGCATGGCCCCCCACTAACCCAACTGGGCTGCTTTCCACGCAACGGGAAGATGAGAGAAAATGTGATTTCCAAGTCTTGGAGACGGACAGAGGCACTGTCTGGCAGCCAGGGCTTGGTGTGCACGGAAGAGAAGTGAGAGCAGGGCGCACAGCAGGGACACTCCCGTGGCCACAGTGTCGTGGACACTAGGTGGACAGCTTATCACAGCAGGGCACACCAGACGCCCCCTTTGGGAGAGTTTGGGACTGACAGAGGCCAATCAGCCTCCTGGTGCCAGAGATGTACCAGGGGACAACCCTGGACAGGATCTGAAAGGGGCAGAAATAGCCTGTCTGAAGAGAAGGGAAGTGAGGGGTGGGGGACGATGGGGGGACGCAGAGGGAGGCGTAGCCAGGCCAGCCTGGCTCTGGGCTGGCGCCTCTCCCTCCTCCTGCAGCCTGCGGGCCTGGCACTCAATGCCCCAGAGGGGGCAGGGGCAGGGGCGGGGCGAGTGGCCTGTGGTGTGTCCCAAAAGGGAGTACTGGGTGGCCCTGAAGGGCAAGAGAGTGACACGTGCTGACAAGAAGACCCAGGATGCCCGCAGCAGCCCGCCAGGGAAACAGGGCCAGGCTCCAGGGTGGCTCCCGCCTGGCCGAGCGCTCGGCACACCGCCACCTCCTGTGATTTCAGTGATTATGAGCAACATGCTATTTTTGTTCTAAAAATACTAATAAAGTAAAACCTTAAGACTTTGCCAAGAGGGTCTGGGGGCTGCCCAGTCCACCCTCATCAGAGGGCCCAGAGTTCAGCTCCCTGGCCGCCCTCTGGAGGCCCCCTCGGCAGGCCACGCCTCTCAATGGCACCTGGGGAGCAGGAACCCCACCGGGTGCTCTGCTCAGGGTGGGACCCTCCACAATCCCACCCTTGCTCTGGAAGACACTGGCTACAGACCCCGCCCCAGCCTACAGCTGACGGCCAGAGGAGTCACCTCTAAAGTGCGCCTCTGAGGACCACGTTTGAACCACCGGGTCATCTGGACCTGAACCCTGCTCTGAGCTGGCCTCCTGCTGTGTGCCCCACTGATATCTTGTCAACTGAACACCCACAACTCTCTGGTGAGCAGGGCTACTGCACCCATTTCACAGAAGAGGAACCGGAGGCTGGGGTCACTCCATGGCAGTGAGCCACCTGGCTCCCACCGACTGCAGACACTAGACCAACGGCAGTTACTGCTGTGGCTTGGCCCTGGCTCTGGCCACACGGACCTCAGGACACAACTACACAGGGGCGCAGCAAACTTTTTTTTTTATTGCAAACGTGCCAACAGTCCCAGGTAGCACCTGGGAAAGGTGGAACCTGGGGCCTGGGGAGGGGACTCTTCTGGACTGGCCTACGCCTGCATCCACAGTGGGAGCCAGGCTGACCCCACCCTCAGGATGTGGCCCCAGGACAGCCACAAAGAAACTCACCAGAAGGCTGAGGGCAAGAGGCCCAGAATGGAGGACTGGCCCCGGGGCCTGGTGGGAGCAGGAGGGAGGAGGAGGGGTGGGCTCTCCACAGCCCGTGATCCTCGGGTGTCATGGGGAGATCCAGCCCGGGCCCTGCCCAGTACCCAGGCCCTGCCCAGTACCCAGGCCCTACGGGCATTCAGGAGTCCGAGGCTGGGGAGGCGGACACGGGTAGACACCCCCGCCACTCCCAGCACACACAGCTTCGCAGGGCCTGGCCAGGCCCCGGTTCCCAGCAGCTGGCCTCCTCTGCTGCTACCCTCCGCCAGGCGGGGCCACTCAGTGCACTGGGAGGGCCTCGGCAATGGCCTTCTCCACCCGCAGGTACCAGGGCTGGATGTGTGTGTGCCGCATCAGGTCATCAAAGGCCTCCAGACCCTCCATCACCCGCAGCACGCCGTACACTGCCTGGGGTGGGGACAACGGTCCTGAGGCCGGGCCAGATGGGCACAGCAGCCCCAGGGAGCACCCAAACCTGTCTGCTCCTCTGCCAGCTGTGTGCCCGGGGCCTGTCACATCCCCACTCAGACCTCGTGACCCACTGAAGGGTCAACTTTGCACATAGGGCTTGAATGAGATGCACAGGATGGCTGTCGCCTGCTCCTTCTAGGCAGGAGTCCGCCTCCAGTCTCCCTGGGGAAAATGTCCTCCCGGCTCTCAGGGCCTGAGATTTGGGGGGGAGATCCCAGGACTCCACTCTAAGGCCCAGGCCACTCTGGCTGTTGACCTGCTTTGCTCTTCCTTGTTTTGGTGGCTGGGCTCGACCCCAGGTCTTGCGTACCAGGCGCGGCTCCACCACAGGGCCAGCCCAGCCTTGCAGGACTGCTTCAGAGCTGCCACTGAAGCCAGGCAGTAAGACTTTGCCGGGTGGAAGCCTGGAGTCCCACCCAGACCTGCCCGAGGCTGACCAACCCCAGGGAAGGCAGGGTTGAGACGATGACGGGGACAGTCTCGGCCCTGATGCTGCCCTTGAGCCCCTGAATCCAGCCAGGCCTAAAACCCACCCCTCCCCCAGACTTGTCAGTTATGGGAACAGGACGGTTCCTTGTAGTCGGCTTTTCCCTTATGCCACTCTGAGCTGGGTCTCTGCCCCTGAGCGGGGGCACGCAGCTGCCTCTGGGGTGGTCACAGCCATGGCCTGGGCTTTCCTTCCAGTCCCCCACCCCAAGGCCTCATCTGGGCACTGCCCGCCAGCACTACACCCACCAGGTCAGCGAGGTTGGGCGTCTGGCCCCCCATGAAGGGCCGGTCTCCGCCGACTGCTGCCACCCACTTGTTGGCCGCCTCGTAGAGGTCCTCCCGCACGTCGTCCCGGAGGTGGTGCCTGGCAGAAGCAGGGGGTCCCATCAGGAGGACGCTCCCTGGCCCAGGTGGAAGCGGGGCCTCCTCTGGGGAGTGGGAAGGCTGGGTGAGCAGGGCGGCCCCCACATGACGGGAGGCACCTGCAGAGATGTCCCAGATGGGGTAAGGGGCAGCGACTCACCCTGAGCACAGGAGCGGAGGAAGGCATGAGGCAGAGCCCTGGCTTCAGTCCCCAAGGGGCTCAAGCGTGCTGGACCCGTCCTGCCTTGCCTCCAGTGGCCCCCGTCCCGCCTTGCCTCCTCTGGGCCTCCATCCCACCTTGCCTCCTCTGGGCTCCATCCTGCCTGGCCTCCTCTGGGCCTCTGTCCTGCCTGGCCTCCTCTGGGCCCCATCTCCCACCACCCTTCCCAGGGGTTAACGGGACCAGCACACAGAGGGTCATGCCTCGGGGCACATGCACACGCCATCACCTGCTCTTGAGGCGCTTGCTGATGAGGTACATGGCGGCTGCACCCGCGTACTTGGCCATGGCACCCTCCAGGGCCCCGAACTTGCCCTCACGGACGATGTAGTCGAAGGAGGCCAGGGCCTCGGCAGGCGTGCGGTACACGTTGGGCGAGATGAGGTGCACCAGCCAGTCGTCCGCCCACTGCCGCCACTTCATCTCCTCCCTGCAGGCCCAGGAAGGACATCAGGGTGAGTGGACTTCCCAAGCCAGGGCCTGGAGTGCAGCAGCGGAAGGCTCCCCACAGCCTGCCCACACTCCCGGGGTGGTGGCCTCCCGCGCTCTCCCATACAGTCGGTGTGTCCTCACCACTACCCCAGGAGGCCCTGGTCCCACTCACGTCCTCGCCTCCTTGCCACCATACATGCGCTGGGCCTCCTTCTCATCCAGCATGAGCCAGTACTTGTTGCAGAACTCGGTCACCTCCTTGCCCTGGTCATTCATAGACTTCATGGGTGGGTAATAGGTGATGACCTCTTCCAGGGGCTGCCTGTGAGAGAGAGCCACATTCTCACCAGCTCCTTCCTTCTCCTGTCCCCTGGCCAACCAACCCAGCCTCACCCAGCCCAGCTGGAGCCAGGACTGACCCATAAAGGCTCTTCACTCTCTTGAAGCAAAAAGGATTTGGGTTAGACACCAGGAGCACGTCCCTGACAGAGGTCTCAGGGGAGGACGACATTGGCCCATTCTGGAAATCTCAGCAGCAGCCCCACCCCCGCCTACCTGGGCTTCCCAGGGACTCCTTACCCAGACACCAAGTAGGTTTTGAGGGCACTGATAATGACAGAGGAATCATTCAGTTGTTGCTGAAAGAGAAGAGGAGGTTTGGATCAAAGGTTCTGGCCGGCACCAGTAGGACCCACTGGCTCCTAAAAACACTGACACCAGAGCTGTGAGTGAACTGGTTGTGTGGGACCTGAACCCTGTTTATCCATCCTCAAGGACTGGTCCCCAAAACCAATGCCCCCTGAGCTTGGCCCTCCCTTCCCTCAGGTCCTCATTCTGCCTCAGGGCAACCAAGTGTGGCTAATGGTGGGGGCAGGAGCCAGGGACCCCTGTGTCTAGGCCCAGCCATGCACCACAGGGCCAGAGTCAACCCAAGACAGAGCAAGGTGGGGAGTCCCCGAGGCTCACCAAGCTGTCTCCGTCCTGGGCCACCAAGATGGGCACCTTCCTGTATGAGGAGAATTTGATCTCAGTCCGGCGCACAGGGTTCACCTCCACCACCTCGTAAGGCAGGGCGTGGAAGTCCAGGAAGGCGCGGACTTTGCTGCAGAAGGGACATGTCTTGTACTGGTACAGGGTCAGCTGCAGGCGGCTGGACAAGGAGAGCTGAGGGGGAGCAGAGGAGGAGCTTCTGAGGCCTGGCACCCCTGCTCAGGCCCCACCTGGGCAGACACCTTTCCCAGGGAGTCTTTTGAGTTGACCCTGAGAATACGGGGAGAACAGGGTGGCAGGCAGGGAAGGGGCTGCCATGGCGGGTGGCCCAGGTGTAGGCCGCCAGCTGGCAGGCCTCAGGGCAGGGCCAGCACCTGTGGAAGATCTGCTTAGAAGAACCCTCCAGTGTCTCTGCCCAACACTGTGCAGACACTGATCGTCTCCCTCCAGTCCCAAAGGACGGTCCCAGGCTGTGCCTCTCTCCAGCGGCAGTGCACCAACCCCAGGGACCTCTGGGTGAGGGGACAGAGCTATTTGGTACCCAGGCCAGCACAACTCAGTTGGTCCATCTCAATTCTGCAAGGGGGAGGGCTGACCAGTGCAGTGCCGCCAGGACCACCTCCCTCAGGGTTGGGTTCACAGGGGAAACCGGACCGGACACAGGTGGGCAGGGTGCCACGCCTAATCCACTCCCCACCCCACCCCGGAAAGGGGCATCCGCATGAGGAGGGGGCTGTAGTGGTGCAGCCTACAAGCTCTCAAGGGTGGCTGAGTCACCACCCGGGTGGAGGGACACCTTCATTTCAGGGCCTGGAGTCAAAGGGTCACTAGTTCCATGAAAGTGCTGCTGCTTCAGACACAACGATTTCATGAGAAATACACACAGTTCTGGGTTAGTAAGCAGCAGTCGCGTCCCCATTTTACAGATGAGGAGGCTGCCGGTTGACACCTAAGGCCGAGTCGCTAGCCCAAGGTCACATGCAGGCGGAGGAGGCGACTCCCGACCCCACTGGTTCCCAGGAGTCTAGTTTCGTCGCTGATCCCAGAATCTCCATCCACAGCCCAGCCAGGCCTTACCTGGGCGGCTGAGCGCTCGGCGCGGAGGTCCTGGGCGCGCAGGTGCCACCGTGCGGTGTGGTACAGCCCCAGGGCGCCCCCCAGGGCTAGCGCCGCCGCCCCCAGTAGCCGCGGGCTCCCCTTTCGGGCGGCGGCGGCAGGGGTCCCCGGGCCACCCGCACCCCCCGCGAAGCCCGCCCGGCTCTGCGCGAGGAATGGTGGCCAGGGGCGGCCGCCCAGCCTCTCTGCCAACGCGCACCGACCGGGCCACAGCGCCCGAGCCGCCCCAGCCGCCCGCGCCGCCTGGGCCATGTTCGTTCCTCCGAGGCCGCGGGCGGGCGCGCGAAACCAAGACGCGCAGGCTCGGGCTCTCCTTAAAGGGCCGGGTTCAGGAAGCCCGGCGGGTTGCCTAGGTGACGCCTGGCTGGGACCGGCAGCCCTATTCGGATTAGCCGTGTGTGCCAACCAGAGCCGCAGAAGTACACCCGGGGGTGTCTGGAAGCGACTCAAGGCCTCTGGCTTCCGAGGGTGCGTCTGCAACAGGTGTCGGCGGTGATCGGCGCGTACCTGCGTGCCAGCCGCGGCTCGGCCACTCAGCGTGCTGCGTGGTTTCCGAGCGGTGCGACAGCCTGCGATACGTGGTTAATCTCTTCTGCAGTGTGCACCCATTCGAAAGAGATTGAATCCTGACGACCGTCAAGGAAAGGGCCCCGGCTGCAGTGAAGGCCGCGGTAGGGGCCCGACCCGAGGTGGCGGCGATTCGAGCTCTTTCTGACCTCCCGAGTACACCTCTGCGGTAACCCGAACCATAAACTTTTCCAACCCAAAGCGGGGCCTAGGAAACCACGTGTCTCAGGCAGCCCACGCGCAGCACCGGCTGGCCGACCCGGAGGCCTCCGGGCAAGATGGGGCAGAGCAGGAGTCTGGGTTGCCGCGCCTCTGCGCCGGGCTCGCTCACCCAGGTTGAGCGCCCGAGCCTCCACCGCCTAGGCTTCTCGGAGGGCAGCCCTGGGAAGGCCCCACCTGGCGGCCCGGAGGGGCGTGGCTAGCGGAAACGGGCGGAGATCCGGAGGGGCGGGGCGTGCTCGGGCTCCGCCCCGCTCCGTCTCCGCCTTCCACTCTCTCTGCCTAGGGTTCTGCCACTGCCTCTACCTTGGGACCTGAGGCCGCAATGTCGGGCCCCCATGGAGTCTGGGCATGCGGGTGGAGATGGGAGCCCAAGGCGAGGACAGTGGCTTAGGAGAAGCAGGTGACTCAGGGGCTGCTTTGCTTTCCCAGAAAGAATTGGAGCCAGGACAGGGACCTGGAAGAGCTCGAAGAATCCTCCCAGTACTCCCTTGGACACTGAGTTGTAAGCACCGTGTCCGAGGTGCTGGGCCAACTGGTCTCTGGGAACCGCAGCACTGGAGAATCGAGAGCACCTTTTACAAATGGGAAACAGGCAGATTCAGGGATATCGCCCATTTGAGATTTGTTCCAGAGACTTCCTTTAGCCCCTAGGGAGATCAAGACTTTGAGAGGGACCTAATGGAGCTTGCTGATCCGTGCCCCTAGCCACCTGGCTTTGTTGGTGTGACCTGTTTACAGCCTGTTGCAGCCACAGCACTGCTGGGGAGCAGGAGAACCATCAACCATCACCTCTCTTTGCCTTCTCCAACTTGAGTTTTCCCACTTGCAATGCAGGAATAATGAAAGATATCTCCTGCATTGAGATGTGTTCGAATTAAGTGGGGGGAAAATGAATGGGGAGAGGCTGGTGAGATTGATATGAGACTGATGCCTGAGACACCCCTATTTTTTGCCCACCCAGCAGCTGCTCCACCCTAGGATAGGATGCTTTATCCTTTACTAAATCTAGGAAGGAAACCCAATGCCCAGTTCGTCTGCCAAGGCAAATTTCTTTTCTCTTTGTCCTCTTGACCAAGACAGCTCTTGGCTTGCTGTACAGTGCTGGTTCTGCCTCACTGCCCTTGGTCCTTGTGGTGCCTCTCAATTCATTCCAGCACTGGGCCATCTGCTTAATGTCCCCGGGGCCTCAGGGCAGAGGAACAAGCTGTAGCTGAGCAGGATGAAGCCCTAGACTCAAGTCTGAGTGAATCTCGGGGCTAAATAAGGGAAAGGGGAGTTCAGTCTGGGCCTGAGGCCCCATCCCTAGCTATCTCTCAGCCCCAGCCTGTCCCTGATTGCACCCAACCCAGTCCTCTACACCAGCCCTGCTCCTAACCCACCCTTTCTCTCTGCTCCTTCCCTGGCTTTTCTGCTCCTTGACTGTTTCCTGATCTGAGTCTTGCCCTCATCCTCCCCTGAAGGCCAGATGAAGGGGCAGAATGCTGTCTGACTATTGCTACGGATTGAAAGTATGTGTCCCCCAAAATCTATAAGCAGGAACTTAATACCCAGTGTGACAGTGTTAAGAGGTGAGAATTTGAGGAGGTAATTAAACCACCTCTCATGAATGGAATTAGTACTCGTGAAGGGGCTCCAGGGAACTAGTCAGACCTTTTTTGCCTTCCACTCATTCCATTATGGCGAGGACACCTGCACAGTGCCAACCATGGGGAACTGGCCAGACACTGACCCTGCTGGTGTCTTGATCTTGGACTTTCCAGCTTCCAGAAGTGTGGGCAATAAATTTATATCATTTTTTTTAAAGAGAGAGGTGAGAGAGACAGAGAGAATTTTTAATATTTATTTTTTAGTTTTTGGCAGACACAACATCTTTGTTTGTATGTGGTGCTGAGGATCGAACCCGGGCCACACGCATGCCAGGCGAGCGCGCTACCGCTTGAGCCACATCCCCAGCCCAAATTTATATCATTTTTAAATAACCCAGTCTGTGGCTTTTTTTTTTTTTTTTTTTTTTTGTATCAGGTATGAACCCAGAGGTACTTAACCACTGAGCCACAGCTCCAGCCCTTTTTCTATTTTATGTAGAGTCAAGGCTCACTTAGTTTCTTAGGGTCTCACTAAGTTGTTGAGGCTGGCTTTGAACTCACGATCCTCCTGCCTCAGCCTCCTGAGTTGCTGGGATTCCTGGTGTGCACCACCGTCCCTGGTGTGTGGAATTTTTGTTAATAGCAGCAGGAACAGACTAAGACAGGTGTGTTCTTCTCTGTTGCTGCAGGGATCCCTGAGAACAGGTAGCTAGGCCCACAGGTTCTTGCACACAGGAGACAGTGGAGCTTCTGTGTAGGCAGAACCCAGACCTTGCCAGCCCATGAGCCCCATTTTGGGCTGAACTTCTGTAACCACCTTCCTGGGTGCCAGCAGTACAGACACAAGCCCCTCTGTATCTCTGTGACCCCACGGCTACTGGTTTTCCTTTAGCCTCTCTGGACATGCTTTCCAGTCACCTCTGTCCTCTCCTCTTCTGCAAGAAAATTGGGTTCTTCAGGGTTTAGTCCTAGCCCCTTGGAGGTCAGTGCACACATCCTTGGCCACACCTCTCTCCCCTGGTTTCTGTCACCATCTCTGTTCTGAAGGACCTAAGCTGTGTCCTCAGCTCCGCCTTATCCTAACTCCAGGCCTGCGTCTACAACTCCCTCTGGGATAGACTGGTTGTCCCCCAGGACCACTCACTTCAGTGCTGCCACAACTACCAACCTGCCATCCTTCCCACCTGGCTCCTTTCTTGCCTTCTGTTCCTGCCATGGAGGCCAATGGGGACCCCAGGAGTCCTGCCAGCTCCTGCCCACTCCACGACTCCCCAGTGCTCACTCTGCCTTCTGCCCCTCCCCAACACTTCAGGGGGACTCTGAGTGTCCCACTGCCCTCATCTGACCCAGGACCTACAGAAGGGATGAGATGCACAAGAATCATGCCACGCACACCTGTAATCCCAGCAGCTAGGGAGGCTGAGGCAGGAGGATCGCAAGTTCAAAGCCAGCCTCAGCAACTGCAAGGTACTAAGTAACTCAGTGAGACCCTGTCACTAAATAAAACACAAAATAGGGCTGGGGAATGTGGCTCAGTGGTCGAGTCCCCCTGGGTTCAATCCCAGAAACCCTCCCCCCGCCAAAAAAAAAAAAAGAATTATGCTGAGTGAAAGAGGCGGACAGTGAAGAGTCCTCACTGCAGACACCATCCGAACAGAGGATGTGAACTAGTCTGTGGCCAGAGTTGCCTGGGGTGGGAAAGTCATGGAGGAGAGCAGGAGGGGTGGATTATAAAAGGGGCAAGAGGAGATCCTTGGGAGATCTTTGTGAGGTGATGAAGATACTCACTGTTTCACTGTCCGAATTTGGTAGTAGTTTTGTGGCTTTTTTTTTTTTTTTTTTGGCCATACTGGGGGAGAACCCAGGGCCTCTTGCCTGCTAGGCAAGTGCTTTGCTACTGAGTTAAAACCCCATCATTGTGGCATTTATTTATATCTAATCTTCCCAAATTGCTCAAAAACTACACTTAAAGGGTATACCAAAAGGACTCAGGAGCTCCCAATGGCCAAAGTTGGGACAATTTGAGCAACAAAATAAATAGAAAATACAAAGTAGAAATGAGGTTGTATTGGATTATAATCCATAGAATAAATAAATATCCATGCGTGTGGAAGCCAACCATGAAGCTACTTGAATAGTCTTTTACTCTGTGCCGAGCTACGGGGGACTTAGGTCTCCCCTTGGGAACAATCCTGGCATTCCCAAGGGTAGACTGCCCGAGGCGTGATGTCTCTATCTATCACACAGCTCTCCTAGCTCTGGAATTGGGCGTAACCCTCTGGGTTTGGACAGCCCAGATCCTGCCTTATTGGTGAAGAACACTCTGAAGAACACCTTTGAAACTCCCTTGTGTAAATAAACTGACTTGGTCTCTCTCTCTCTCTTTCCAGTGTGGAAGCTGGACCCCTAAGGGTGGTAGAGCCGGTGGCCCTCGCTGTTCAAAGGTACTTTCTGTGTAGTGTGGATTTCCGCCACCTTCCTTTCTTAGCTTTATTTCACAGCCAGTTCATTCCATGCAGAGGAACTCTGACCCTACCGCCTGCGTGGGATGTGGGCAGGACATGAGTTAATATTGATATAAATAAATGATTGAGGGCTGGGAATATAGCTCAGTTGGTAGAGTGCTTGCCTTGCATGCATAAGGCCCAGAGTTCAATCCCCAGCACTACAATAGATAAATAAATACATAAATAAATAAATGATCGAGTCGGGCACAGTGGTACGTACGTGTCTGTCCAGGTACTCAGGAGGCTGAGCCAGGAGGATCACAAGTTTGAGGCCAGCCTTGGCACCTTAGTGAAGCTGTCTCAAACTAGAAGGCCAGTGGTATAGAGCACCCCTAGGTCCAATCCCTGATATGGGAAATATATAAGGGAGGAGAGACAAATCTCACCTGCAGAAGAATTCCAAATAATTTATGTAATACTGTGCCCCTGAGGTGGTGGAGCAAACCCCCCCACACCCCACACTTTAGCTGTGGGCTGTGTTCCTTCTGAAGAGCATAGTATAGGAAGGGGAAAAAAAATAACTTCCCAGTAGAGAAACCTGGCAAAAACCTTGACCTTGACCAATTCAACATTAACCATGAGATCACCTTATTGGTACTACCCTTGATACCATATGATGCAAAAATGGCTTTTTGTTTTTCTGACCTTCTTCCCTAAAGCCTCTAACCCCAGTCTAATTGTGAGAACAAACACTCCACCACCAAGACAGATCTCACATTGTCAAGATCAAAACCCAGAAAGTCTGAGGAGCCTCATAGCCCAGAACCCTGAAGAGACAGAGTACTGCTGCGGTTTATGTCCCTCGGATGCTCATGAGCTGAAGTCAAATCCCCATCCTGAGATGGCAGAAGGTGGAAACTTAATCTGACTATGATATTTAGAGGGGCCTTGGGCGGTGATTAGGATTTGAGGTCATCAGGGTGGCTGTCCTAATTGAATCCAGGTGGCTGCCAGCGGCCATCTGCGAGCTGTGCATGAGCTAAAGCCATGTGGACCATTAGGCAGGAAAGCCTGCTGCCGCGACCCTGCCGGT